TTTGCACGACGACATGAGGTCTCAGGATGCAGGTAAAATTCACTAAGCCTTACTCTTGCCGTTTTGTGAAATTCCACTGTACTTCCCTACACGCCCTTAGGTCAGATATATTGACTTGAATATCTGCTGATAGAATCAAAAAAGACTCATCATAAAAGATAATAATTTTTTTAATAAATATGCCGGTTTTCGAAAGTTCGGAGGATAGGCTGCTCATGGCTAAACAAGTCCTCGAGGCACACTATTTAGGTTCGATGATTAAGACAGTCTCATGGAATTATCGTCATAATAAGCCAGCATAAACTGTCTACAACAGGCCGAGGAGACTCATCAGTTGTCTTCTCGTGAATTCGGCCAACGAGTCTCTTCATTATGCACCTCTAAACTAAATTTAAAGACCATGATTTTGTGGCCTTCTGTTTTGTCGCAGTCCTCTTTAGCTGCATAGTGTTGGGTTGACCAATGGAAACCTAGTCCTGCGTCTTCTGGTTAATGATAATCATGATGATCACGATAAGTTCCAGCATCAGATCATTGACTTGGTATATTACCAAACGTTTCCCCGGAATCGCCAGTGAGAGGATCCATCGCTAGCACAGAGTTACAACTTGTCACTTTGATAAGATCTGGCTCTGTGCCAATGATGGCGCCGCTCAACGACGAGGCCGACTACGATGCCGGCGAAGAGTTTTGAATGTAGCAAGTCAACAGTCCGATGTTTGACATCACAAATACGATGGCAAATGATACAAAACTAGGTACGCTGTACAATGTCTCCTTTCGCTGCTACCAAGTTGTGAAAATGAAGTCAAACTAAAACTAAATTTAAGGCGGATATGAAGATCAAGATGTTGTGGCCTCTGGTATGGTCGCAGTTTCCTTTCGATGTGACCTCGTTGTCGCAACCCACTTCTATAAATTAAATACAACTCAACTCCAACAAAAGCCATAGGTAAGTGGAAGGAACACGATAGCAAATATCTCATGAGTTTATCCCGTAAGCCCAACGTAAGACATGACCCATTGGAAATTCAGAATAGCGAGACTTATTCTGATGAAATGAAACGGTTATCGCATTTCAGAAGGGTCCAGTCTCAAAACGGCTATCTAGGACGACATAGCAGGGAAAATTCAAACGAACAACGGCTTTGCAAGTCTAATAAATCTTGTATCTGGTAAAAGAAGAAGCCACCTGAAAAGGTAACGGATATTTGTGTCTACCCGAACAAATTTGCCTTCGTGTTCAAGATCTAAAGTGGGAAGCTGCTATTAGAATTTGTTTTAAGGATCACGCTTCGAGCGGATTTTTTTTAATCGCTGGGTTGTGTTGAGGCAAATGCGCGCTCTGATACGAGAGACTCGATGGTAGCACTATAAGTCTAGATAACAACCATAGAGATGGAGATATTCTTTTAGAAGCGTCGTATTGGGGAGTTCAAGCAATCATAACACCAACTAAAAATATGCCTTCGCCCAATAACCTTTTTGGTCGCGGATTTACGTGGCTGGCACTAAAAAGCCCCCCCAGTCTGCCCTTACAACACGCGAAACGCAAATTAATCGTAGTCAGAACCGTCTTTGTAGGATAGATCTCCTGTAGTCCCTCTAAGTAGGCCGGATCTCAGTCAGTTCTGTATCTTTGTTTCCCGCCTGCTTGCCAAGCATTTATACATTTGTCTATTCTAAATCCTCTAAAAAGCTTATGCAAGACTTTTGGAAATATACAAAAGGTTTGAGAAGACATATGTATTCAGCGATCTAAATGAATTTTCTCAAGCAAGCAGTTGTATGGTTGCATGATTATAACTGTATTAATGAGATTTTATCAATTATTTATGCTGGCTAGACGAGAGAGAGAGAGCAAGCCTCCTGATAGTAGTACCAAGATTATGAATGGATCATTGTTAAATCCGACTGAATGTAGCTGGACATATATATGAGAACGACCAAATAATCAAACAGCCAGACGATGAAAAGCATAGTAAGGTTATGCTGCAGAGAAAAGGAGATCAATGCAAAAGAGACAGAAGAAATCCAGTTGATCAGATAATGTATTAAAATTGGGCAGAGACAACTACTTTGCGTTGTAAGTGAGAGCTAGAATATGTATATATGAAATGCATTTACCTTACTTGATAAAGATGATGAAGGACTTGCAGTAGAATTTTCCCACAACGATATGAGGGCCTTAAGGTTCCATTGAATCCCGCATAGCTTTTATTCACAAAAGGCATTATCATCTAAGGTGGTCTGCAGTATCGACCTCACTCAGGTATCATCGGTACCCCCACAGGGGCTCGTATAATCTCGTATAAGCATATATGTGATCTATTGGTAGCCTCTTAAACCTACTTGTAAAACCAAAATAAGTAATATAGTTGACTGCTATAGCAAATACAACTTTGCTTCACCGAAAATCCTTAATTAAAATGCGACATGGGAAAAGGCCCGGCCTTCCTTGAAATGGACATCTGCCCTGTGATTCAAAGGCACTTTTGGCCGTGTGGAGTAATGGTTAGCGTTTTTGGATTATATGCTACGATACCAGGGTTCGAGTGTTGCTTGGGTGTTGAGGAGGCATAGGCGGGGTCGAAACCGCGGAAAACAAGGTTACATGAAATTTACTGCAAGCATGAGGCTTACTTAAATAATTGTGCGAAAATTCAACCACTAGTTATTCATCATTTTGAGGAACTGGGATGAATACATCTCATATATTTGATGTACTAATAGTCTCGATAACCTAATTATGAAAATAAAAATAGCTAAATTATAGTCATAGGTTTCGTAGAAAAGTGAAGTTCGTGAAATATAGAAGGGAACCGTTATGATATCGTTTTTAGAACTAATAAGTCTATTCAAAATTTATTCTAAAAATAAAATAATTTATTTTTTACTAAACAAATTTAATTGAAAAAAATTAAAACCCTTCCATTATCTCCTCCCATTACTCAATCTCTCTGAAAAGTCCAGTAAGACTGAATTAATTGAATAGGACTTAGAGACTAAAAATTAGGGTAAATACATCTCATATGACTGTTTTACTGGTAGTCTCGAAACTCTACTTAGATACAAAAAATAGAAATTAAAGGCAAAAATCCACAATACGAAATGTAATACGCTCTCTGTATAGTAATAAAACTACTGATCTCTATAAACTAGCATTTTTTATTGAAAGAACACTTAATAGCATCAGATTTATTTTAAACTTTCGTCATAGAGACCTTCAAATGGCCAACATTTTTTATATCAGAAGGAATTACTGAGATAATAAGGGCTTAAAGAACTATAAATTCTTAATCAAAGATATGAATACCAAGATGGTGCGGCTTTTTGTGTGGTCGCAGTCTCCGTTCGTTGTATAGAAGTTGTTTGGCCTTGTTTTCACAACTTGGCCATATTGGTTGGAAGACTTAGAGGAACGCACCTAGTCCGGAGTCCATTGTATGCATGATAATGTACAAAGTCGGACCGTAGAAGTGGTACATTTCCACGTCTACATCGACGGTCCGACTCTGGAAATAATCATGTATACAATGGACTCCGGACTAGGTGCGTTCCCATAAGTCTTCCTACCAATATGACCGAGTTGTGAAAACAAGGCCAAAAAACTTCTATCTAACGAACGGCGACTGCGATCACACAAAAAGCCATATCATCTTGGTCTTCATATCTTCGATTAAGTATTCATAGTTCTTTAATTCCTTATAATCTCAGTAATTCCTTTAAATTATCTTAATTTAAAATAGAATACAGGCCTTTAAAGCAGGTAACCTTTCGCTGAGCTTTAGTTTGTCATACAACGGATTCATCAAGCTAGCAGGACTCCACATATAATTACTATACGCGCTAATAGTTGTGTGAATCATCAAACATCACGATTTATTTGCTGTCAGTCAAAGCAAATCTCCTTATATTGGAAATTTGTAAAAAATAGTTCTTTAGGATTTGTTAGGTTATGCGATGTAAAGTTGAGTTTCGAGGAATCTTTTGTTTTATACTAGTGAATCACACTTTCATTTTGAGTAAACGTGTGCAGGAAAGAGATTTGAAGATCGATTCCATCAGCTGACGACATCGGATTCCTCTTGACCAGTCGTCAATTGGCTCTACTAGAGCTTTCTTTTTGGCGCTACCCCGAGGGCGATCTCCTCCGATTTCGGTCAAAACGCGCTAAGTTTTCATCTGCCAAATGATGTACATCCTCAGAGCAGGGTACTATTCCTACCACCATTTTCAAACTAACGAGTCAAGAAAATGGTTGTACAAATGTTGCCCTGTTCTGATAGTGTCAGTCTTATAAGAGACGAAAGCTTAGGACATTTTGACTTGAAGCGGGGACAGCGTAAATCAGAAAGCTTTAGTCATGCCAACCGACAGCTTGGCAAGAGAAATCCCCCGTAGTCTCCTGGAGGGATCTAACATAGAGTCTTTCGTCACACACTTGCTCTCGAAAGGCAAGTATGGTCAACAAATTTTTAAGTTAGTTGATCAACAAGTGATAGAACAGTTAGTTTTACATTGATAAGTTATCAATATAAACTAATATTCCGGTAGGTAGGATTGTATAGGTCTTAAGATGATCTTTAGATAAGCAGCAAGCTAGCATAAGAGGAAAAAGCGAAAGCAGAATCAAGCATTAAATTGACAAATTTAGTAATTTATAAAAGTGGGTTGACCTCGTTTCCGAAACTTGTTCGTGTTGTCAGGGCGAATTAGTTGGACGCACCTAGTCCGAAGTTCTCTGCTATAGTTAGTGTTTCCCAAACTTTTCCTAGTCGCGGCGCCCTTTTTCAATTAAAATTTTTTCATGGCACCCTACCCTAAGTATGACTATTGATAAGTAAGAAATAAAAATGAATAAAACTCATGTATCTTCATTATTTTTTTTTACTTTATTAACATTAAATTAATATTTAATAATTAATGCAATGGATAAGCCTGCAATCACTGCACATTTTCTCAAATCGAAGCTTTTACAATATTTCGCGGCGTCCCTGTTAAGAGTCCGCGGCTCCCCAGAGTGCCGCGATGCACAGTTTGGAAATCACTGGCTATAGAATTTATAATAATTCACAGTGGAGGACTTCGGAGAAGATGCGTTCAACAAAGTCTGCCTGATAACACGACCAAGTTGGTAAAACGAGGGCAGCCCACGTATATACGTCGAAATGAGACGTATGCATATCTTCAATTAATAGGTAAAAGTATATATTTCACATCTAATAGTAAATTGTAGTAGCTTAACCATCTTGTTTGTCTCAGAGTTCAACGAGTACCTACAGGGCTTACTAAAAAATGCAACTAATTCAAGAGGCACTTCTAGTTCCTAGGCTATGTGTACGATATATGGACCAATACTCTACCATTTGGCAACATGGTAAAGAGAGTCTGGACGAATGCCTTAAGTTAATGAAAAACTGATAATTGAAATTCCCCAAAATGAAATGAATATGCCTTACGATTCAATTGAATTTCACTTAACCGTGTCATTCAAAAGACCATCTCAACCAGGCTGGACCGCCGTTTCGATCTTGTCTCGGTCTCATAAGCACTCTCAGCAGGAATCAAAGTCAGGTTGTGGTAAGGCAGCGTATTATTCCGACATTTTACCACTGCATCCGAATGTCACTACTGCCAGTTGGCCAAAGGAAAGAAGCGAATTTCAAAGCAAACAAGACCTTTTCCATATCATATTTTATGGTGGAAATAACGCTGAGGCAAACATGTGTATATTATTACAGTCGAAAACATTACCTACATTCGAATTGAGTAGGATTTCTAAATAACAAATAGAGCTTGAATAAAAGTTCTGCAGGGTAGTGAGCCAAAGTCTGCTTCGCCCATTTCTACATTCACAACTACAAGATAAACCCTCTTCGGTTTCCGGTGATACCAAGTAATTCATCCTTTCTATCCGCCTTTTTAAGCGCAAATAAGCTATACTAACTTTAGTTCTTTATAGGAGTCTTCGAAACACAGTTTCTTATCATAACTTTTAGGAGGCTTATTAGTGCTGTATTATTATGACGCTACAGACAAATTCCATGTGTTAATGAAAAGTGAATGCTACTATTTTAGTGCGGCAGAGGCCAGGGTGCAAATATACTTCCGCAAGTCGCCAAGTGGTGAAAGGTTTGACTTATTTTTCACCAAAGCCGTACTAAGTGACTCTATGCCAACCCATTATTATGGCTTAGTTTATATATTAATACTTAAAAGGTTTCAAGAGTATGAATATATCTTTGAAAATACTTGATACCTTCTTCCTATAGAATTGCTTGTTTTTTATGAAAAGGAGTGGTTCATTCGCTAAGCACAGCCGCAAATACATATCAAGGCAGTTTGTTCAACTCTTGGGGACGAAACTGTTAAAATTCAGCCTGAATTGTTTACGATTGGAGTGTAACACAATATGTCGCCTCGTTAATATATAAGAAGGGTTTAAACTCAACCAATTTGGACAAGTATTAAGGATAACGTGTACCTGAAGAAATCCTAAAATCAGATAAAGTGGAAAGAATGCGAGTGTGACCAAGGCCATTTTCCAAGAGATGCCGAATCCAACTGTCAGTGCAATAGTCATAAGACCTGCTCCTTCAAGTAATCGGCCAAAATGAATACCAGCGATGTTGCTCGTGAGATTGGCTGCCTCTGCCAGACGATCCACATCGGAGGAACCGGGGACTAAAGACTCTGGAGGCTAGGCAAACAGTGTATAATAAAAGATAAGAGAGGATATATACTATATTGCATGTTGTAGTAAAAAATCAAATACACATACATCCATTCAATTTTTTCTCGAACCGAGGTAAATACGCAAGTGTCGCTTGTGAGAATCCAAATTACTAAAATTAGTAAAACGAAATATTTTCAGTTTACAAGTTGTTTTTCAAGGCTACAAGTAGATCAAATATATGACCATATTTCGTTTAAGGTGATGAAGGACTGGTAGCTGAATTTTTTCTACACTGATATGAGTAGGCCTTATGTTTCTGTTGCATTTTACATGGTATTGCTTCCTAAAATGTATTCACGTCTAAACGGGAATGGATTGCAGTTCGACCCCTTGCGAGACTTGAACCCTGGTAGTGCAGCGTATTATCTCGAGCTCGTGGACCCAATGGATAAGGATACACTTTGAGAAGCAAGGCTATGCGAAATAAAATGGTAGCTTAAAGCCCGATCACATCATTTGTGAGAAATTTTACTACAAATCCTCTATAACGCTAAACAAAATAGGGTGAATACACCTCAAAACCAAATAGCATATTAGACCATATTTATAACTTTTGCAAAACCTTACTTTGACAAATATTTAAATCCTGCAGTTTGAATGAAGCAAAAGTCATCAAACTCTGCTTAAGACAAAGTAGCATTGGAGGCCAGTTACAAGTGACACGTCAAAAAGGCTCTGAGGAATTAATGCGATTAAAGTGAGGAAGCATAAACAACTTAAGGGCAAATCCTAAGGGCAGAAGTCTTGTCTATTAAAGAATAAACATTGAATAAATTAAATAAGCTTACTTTCCGGGAGGAGTATAACCTGATAGGACGTAAATATTTTTTATATTTTTTACATTTGTCATTATATACTTCATGAATTCCAAAATAAGCATTGGAAGTAAATAAGTTTGTGCTATAAAGCAGGGAATAGAATGAGAACAACTCTTGCTTTTGAGAAGTATCACCATTGTAACCTCAATATATATATTTTTTTTGATATTTCAGAAATATCACGCACCATTTAACATATCAGGCATTCCAAAAGTTTTGCGTTTTCTGAACTTGTTAATGTTTACTCAATTTTATTTTTGGTCCTGAAAGTGCAGAATCGGTCGCTTGACTCTTAAGGTATGGAATGCTGATTTTATTCTAGTAGAGATCAAAATAAATGGCTTTATATGTCTATAGAACACCTGTGCCTCCTAAATATCAAAATGTTGCTTTCTACCAGGGTACACCACAGTCCTAAATACCACCTAGAATTGGACTTAAGCTCTAAATATGAAATAAGATGTACTAGCTTGCCTGCACAACATATATGAAAATCCCGTTAAGGGCTATTATAAGTTCTGGGAAAATTCTAAATAGCAGAACAGCTTCCAAACTTGATGGGACATTTAACTCTGTTGGAAAGAGCAAGTTGTGAATGTACTTCCTTGCTCTTATCCTAGATACACTCACTAGTGTAGGAGAAAACAATTGTCTAAGCTAACTACTATTGTAAGCCACATAGTGTATGCCAGCAAGTTAGTTTTCATCATACACAAGCACAAAGCTTGCTCTGATACTCAGAGCTCGGAAAATATAAAAAATCTGTTTGT